TCCAAAACGACAAACCTTCATGTTTGGAAGGGGAGGATGAGGTGAGGGGGTATTCAGCTGCAACATGAAACTTCACCTCTAGATGTCAATAAATTCTATACACTGGACCTTTAATATGAGTTGAGAATGAGAAATATTTTGATGGCATGCATAGTTTATAATGATTCCCTGCGTTGTACTTTCTCAACCAATCTGATATTACTAGATAGAATTATAAGTAATTTCCCTTATTACTGTCATACTTGACATGGGTCTTAAATTTCATCCACTATGATCTTAAAAAGGTTGCATAGTTTTAAATTTAACTTATTGAAACATGCAGGAACACTGTCAAAGAGAATACATGTGACTGAACAAAATCCAGGAAACAACTAATAATGTTTACTCCAAAATGAATCTGTCAATGCAATTATGTGATTATACAAATATACTTGGACTGTTGCTTGTGCTGTGTCAGTAATTTCTAAATTGCGCTCTTGACTGCTTTGCTTTGTCTGATGGGCCCTTACTTGTGCTTGTCTCCAGCTGTGCATTTTTGTGTTGTTGTCGACTGTATAAATCTTTGTGTCTTAAACTGAGCCATAGCCAGAGACCTCTTTGAGCAGTCTGGTCAGTCCAGCACTTGAGAGCCATCCATCACTGCTCAGCTGATGGCCCACCTCTGGTCGGCCGCTCACTGCCACTCAGACGGGGCCCCACTTACATGGCCGCCAAGAGAATGACCACTAATAATTGCAACAGTGCCCATACTGAGTTTGAGGTTAATTAGCTGTGTATCACCAAAAGTGTGACCTCCATACTAATAGTGGGTATTTTGTTTTCAGCAGGCAGAGCTAACAACAGACTTCTCTTCCCTTCACTTTTCCTTCTGTGCAGTCCTGGAACGTTCACATACTGTAATCACTCCCCCACAAATATTCATTGATGATATCAATCCTTCATTACGCCAATTAGGAACAAGAGCATTCAATCAATCAATCTCATTAGTTTCTTTGTCAAGTAGCCCATCTCCCTTCCCTGCGTGGCAGTATATATACAGTATTTATTGCCACAATGCTCATTTACTGTCGGTACTTATTTAAGCGGCTGCATCGCTATGAAAATGCCTGTGCACAGATGACTCCCTATTACATTTCGTACAGAACATATAAATGAGAATATCAGTCAGGGAGATGATGACGATGCTGTTTCATGAGAATGACTGTAATTTTCTATGCACAGTAATAATACAATTCCTTATTTAAGAGAACAGCAGTTGCTGTAGCTGACAGTCATTTTCTAGCTGTAACTATCTCAATCTATTTCATACACACATGCACACAAAGCACCTGTCTGCACACAAGCCCTAAAACCATCAAAATATGTATACATTCTTAAAATCCCTTCTTCTTTTCCATGTCCATACATTTTTGGCCATAACTCAACGACAAAATACATACATTATCTATTCCACTGACACTGGCTGAGTGGCTGGATACACCCTGGACAGGTCGCCAGCGTAAAGAGACACACAACCATTTAAAGTCACATTCACACCTTTTGGCGATCTATAGTCTCCAATTACCTAACCCAATCTACATTGTGGGATGAAGGTGGAGTATCCAGAGAAAACTGCACATCTATATGAGATGAGGTATAAATATGGACCAGTTAGCAGAGATTTGGTAAAAGTTTTTAGTGCCTCTATATTAGTCCGAGGGTTCTTAGCATCCTCAAGCACCCCCATAGCAGTGATCCCACTTTGGAGCTACCATTTCCAGACATGCAGCAATGAAAAAGACAAATTGTACCTGCACACACTTGCATGCACTTACACTTTTATTGCAAACTCGCATCCACACACTGCATACACACTTCCATGTACAGTAACCTCAAGGGAATATCACTCAAACCACTGAAGAGCCACAGGCAGTGATTACTGTGGTCTAGACGTACTCGCCTTGTGCTCCAGTACTGGAGTCGGCCACAGTGATGCCTGTTGAGTTGATGTTTTAAGAGCTTTAATGCATTGAAAAGCCACAGATGAGAGCAGGGTCTTTGTTGCGCTGTTTTAAAGATGCACTCATATTTGTACTCTGTGATTTGTTGTGAGCCAATTCTTTAAATCTCTCAAGTGAAGTAACCTATAGAAATGTTAAGTTTTAAGGGGGGTTTTAGCCGTGCAAATGAGAGCTTCTTTTGTTGGGTCACAGAGATGTAAGTGGGAGCACAGTCTCAAGGGAGACGTAGAAAACCTTATAGACCAGTCTGTGCTGTCGATGAGTGTGTGAGTTACACACAAAAACACATTCTGGAGTGTTTTAAAGGCACCGTTATTATGTTGTCTGAAGGCCACAATCACATTATTGCGGGAGTTGGAGACACTTTGAGTGTGCTTTTACAAGCTATACTCTAAAAGTGGTGATCGAGTCTATCTATTGTCTATCTCTATAGCATGCAGCTCTCCCAAGAGGCTGCATGCGTTTATTGTTCGCATTCCTTTTGTGTCTCTTTCAAGTTCACAAACATCTTTAGTACACTTGACTTCTGAAAGTATTTTTCCAGCACGTGCTCTGCTTCACCATTCAAGCCTTGAGTAGTCTAGTGTAGCAGATTCAGTATTGATGAGGCCGATTGATCAGAAGAGGGAGCACCCTCCCCTTTCTGTTACTGTAGGTCTTGAATAATCTATCGCTCATTCAATATTCTGTTGCAAGCATTAAACGGCTGCAGTTTAAGATTCCTCCCGCTATAAGATTGTAGTCCCCAGAGAAAAGAACTGTTGAGTCTTTATTTATTTAATATTTAAAACAATGCACTATGCATTATGCAGTTGACTTGCAGTTAATATGCTCACATTAAACTATATGCTAATGAGAAGTAAACCTGATATATATGTAGTTTGATTAAGGTTTAACCTTTAATTTACTACTGACCTTTTAATCAATTGTACTGCCATTTTCAAACACAGGCCCTGTTCAGACCTGGTATTAACATCAGGAGGAGATGAATGGATGAACTTGCAGAACCATGAAGAAAGATTTTACCAATTTAACCATTATGTGGTGATTAGTGGTGGTGGCTATGAATGGACATTGAGATGCATGAACTTACGTTTGATTCATTGTGAAACTGTTGTGAGTCAGAGGACATCAACTGAATCGCTGGTCGGATCTCAGGACACATTCTGGTGTGCTCGCACCTGAACTTAGAGCTAACCGCTTGTGATCGGATCCCTCAGGACGGATGTTATTAGCAGGTCTGAACGGGGTAACAGACAGTGGTCGAGGATAATGTCAATCGTCGGCATGTTCCCTGGTATCTTGTGTCCACAGACATAATTATATGTCAAGCCTCTACTGTTAGACGTCAGGATTTGATCTCATCTTGTGGCCTCTGGAGACTTTGTCACAGAAGTGATCCTTGAATGTTGCTCCTCAAGTATCTCTCATCATCACAGGAGGATTGTGTGACTTTTTGGTCTAATGTGGAGCAATATCAATATCGTAGTTTGCTCGACATCTGCCTCGCCTGAAATTTAACTAGATATACGATACTCTGATGATTGCCTTTTCCCTCAGAGACCCACAAACTGAGTTACATTTTAATCTTCCATGACTTACAGTATCTAAATTAAATGAAGTGGCCTGCTCCTGCAACACTGACACAGTGAAACAGATCTGGCACAGGAGTAATTGTGGGAAATGAAAGTCGTGCTGTGTACTTTGTTGTTCATATATAAAAGCAATGTAATTATCCAGACACTGTACCGTACACAAACATAGTGACATCAGGCCGGCTGTATGCGCAGGGGGCAGCAACAGTTTGATCGCAAGCCATTCAAACAATGGTTGACCATTACCCACAATTTTTCATAAGTGCTCCTGAGGGACTTTGCCGTTATTCTGCCCACTCACATTTTGTTTTTGTTGCTTTATTTCCTTTGACAACAAGCTACAGATGATGGTAATCAGCTTTAATTGTGTATTGGATGTGATGTAGAAATCAAGCGCTCACAGCTCAGGCCATATCTGAATACAGCTGATTGTTATAAGTGATTGTGTTGGGAGATATTTCTGTAATGTGGCAAAACACACAAACACATGCACACGACCACGCTAAATACAATGTTGTCAGAGGAAATTTTAATCATTCTCTCCCCTGCTAGGCCTCAAAGAAAACAGAGCTTATATAAATGTCCTAGTGCTCCTCAAAACCTATTAGCACAACATGGAGATAATCTCAAACACATGCACAATCGCGCCCCATCATGGAAAACATGCTGAGGAAAGAAGGATGAAAAGCCCATGTGCTCCTTGCCAAATGCACATGCACACACTTTCAGTTTTATTGCAGCCCAGCCAGAGGTCTCAGAGGCAGGGGGGGCTGTGATGATGGATGTGCTGTATCTACTTCTTCCAGACAGCTGGTCTGCAGAGTGGACACAGGGACAGGGAAAGCCATCGGTCAACACACACTTTTCCCCCTATTTTAACTTGTGTATGTGTGTGTGTGTATATATATATAATTTAAAAAATGGGTTTTTGTGGTCTATACATTGCAGCCATTGCACATGTTGTGGGGACCTGAATCTGTCATATTATGGAGACTCTTATTCCTCATTTGGACACAAATCCTCATCAAGGAAATCCTTATATTTAATGTGACATGTTTTAAGATCAGGGTGAGTTAAGGTTAAATTTAGGACAAGGGTTAGGATTAGACAAGGGTTAAAGTTAGTCTCTGGGAAATGTACAAGTCATCGTAAATTCCTTTGAAGTCATTGAGGTGTGTGTGTGTGTGTATTTGTGTCACAGTCCCATTATGGGAACTTGTGTTCCTTATGGGGACAAAAAACAAATCCTGGAAAATCATTGAATTTCAAGGTGAAGACATATTTAAGGTTTAGGTTAAAGTAAGCGTAAGTCTGCAGGAAATTAAAAAGTCTGTGTGTGTGTGTGTGTGTGTGTGTGTGTGTCCTGGCTACTGTCCTGTCTCTGTCTCTTACCGCGATTCCTCAGGTGGAGGACTCTGGGCCTCATTCTCCCTTCCCATCTGCCCCGGCACCGCCTTTTTCGTCCCTCGGCTTGCCATGCTGACAGGCGGAGTTGCCACAGTGATGGATGACTGTGCGCTTAGTTTCAGTGTCAGAGTCCTACACCTCTGCTACCTGCCGTGTGGGTCCCTGTCAAAGACTTCCTGTCAGGTCAGCCATACCCCCTCTCCTCTTTTATCCATCTTTTCATCTTGATCCTGGAGCTCTCCCTGCATCTCTCCTTTATTTAGCTCTCTGTCGGGACCTATTTTAAAAGTTTGAGCAGTTTGAGAGTAAAATTTCCCAGAACTAGGTTTTCAACGTGATAACTTCTGAGGCGCAGCCGAACAAAGGGGCTGATGACACCACATGTATGCTCTCGTGTCACATAGAGCAAGATTTTCATTGAAATCAATTCCCCTTAAATCAGTCAGATTGCTCCAGTCTATTAACGGCTTACGCACAGAGCATACTAATGAAGCCATTTTCCTTAATTAGCAGCGTGATGTGAAGTCGCTACTTCCTTTCTTCTTCGATAATTTGTACAACGGCAGTGTGCGAATCCTGCCGTTGTCTGTTTGTGTTGGCCTGAGCGCACCTTCATTTGTCAATGTGTGGCCGCGTGTTCATTATACAGCAAGTCTCCTTAAGACTGACCCCAGCTTTACGCCACGCATTTTAAATACTAGCCCTTTTGTAATGAGGTCCATAAGCAAGGCACTCATGAGCTTTGTCTATGAATATAATTAACCAATTAGCCTGTTCTTTATTAGAGACCAGCAGCAGCCATGCGTCTCTGCTACCAGGGACTAGTTAGTGTTTTCTAATGAGCTTTTAGCTTCCAACCAGAAACCCTGTCAAGCATTATTAATAAAGAGGCTATTTGTGCAGGCCTTTCAGCTTAAACACATACCAGAGAGCATGCTTACTGAGATTTATCTGTATGATTAATGAACATGGTGGCACTGAAAAACCAGATTTAAAAACAAAAAGGGGTTAAAGTCACTTCACACCAATTAATTTATGATAGTTATTTGCAACAATGTCAGTTTGTCGCAGTATCTTTTCAGGAAACTGTGATTTCCATTTTTTTTTCTGACGATGCATCTCCACAATATAACAAGTTGAGATGTATTTCCTATAAATGTCCTCAGGCTGTTTTTACAAAACATCCAATATTATACCCACATTTTCGCAAAGCATTGTATTACACCATTAAACTGTCAGCAGGAACAAGGAGGGGAGCAGAGACATGTTGAATTACTTATTTTTTTTACATAGAAAAGAGTAAAAACACGTTCAGGATTCAATTTTCTTTGCTGTAGTGTTGTACTGGAATCATAGCAGACTTGATATGCAAATAACAAAAGCAATTTGTTACAGGTTGATTCAGAGTAATGGGTGTAAGATTTCTTGGAGCCTTGAATTGATCAAAGATTCATTGGGTGAATAAAGACGTGGACACAACCACCATGCTTCAAGGGATGCTTTGAAAAGGATTTAAAACACCAATACCAAGGACTTGCACAGCCACTGCAAACAATAAACTGTCCAGGCTTGAATCTTTACATGTGTCAGGACATTTTTAGATTTAGGTTATAATGATTAAGTAAACGTGTTTTTCAGGGGTTTAATTAACTGGAATTGCCCGAATCAGATATTCTAGTTTGGTTATTTTATCCATAAAGAGTTACTAACTGATTTTCCTTTGAATTTATTATATAGTGATTATTGTGATATTGTGATTATACATAACATTTGCCTCAAAAGAGTATTTAATCCATATCACCAGACTTTATATCTGTAATATTATATAACAATCAGTATAACATACACACATACAAAGTTTTACTCTTTTTTCTGTGTCATGCCAATGCATTTGGCTATTTACAAGACACCTTTAACTTACAAGCACATAAATGTTATTCCTTTTTTATATACAACAATTATTTTGGTAAATATTCCTTAGGAGGAGTAATTGTTTAAAAACAAGGAGAAGAAGAGGCCCCTTACACTGTGAACAGGTAAATGAAGAGGTTGCAGTTTGGTCAAACCTCATATTTTGCCTCTGCTGGATGTGAAACCACTCGAGCTGTACTTACCTGCATCACAAGTAACTGTATGGCAGTCAAGACCCCAGCTTATCTCAGACACACAACTGTGTAAATCACCTAGGACTCTTTACAGTCTGAAATCTGACTGCTGCCTCTCACTCGCTCTTCGTCTTCACAGCACACGGACGAGTGATGCTGCCTTGTCTTTGACTGGCAGAATAAACGCCGTTACCACAACAGCAATTCTGGGAGACAGACAACAAGCAACAACAGAGGCAGACAGACACACAGCGACTGTGACAGTGTACAGCAGGAGAGCCAAAGCAGTGACAGTGTTTGCAGAGGTAGTGCGTTGTTTGAGCCCAGCGATGATGATGAGTGAGTCAGGAGGCAGATGCACAAACATGATACTCGCATGAACGTGACGGCACAACCACAGGTCTGGTTGGTAAAACTCCGCAGGGGGGATAGTGACAGTGTGACTGAAAGGTTGACTTTGAATATACTCATAACTAGCAGGACATTGGTGACTACTGCATTTTAGTACTTGTCAAATATTCCCCCCAAAAAGTACATGCTCAGGTGGCTCACAATTTTATTGAAATAAACATTAATAGTGAGTGACCGACACATTGATATGGGAGCATGAGCTCCCCCAAAAACTCTATTTAGATTATTAACATCACCCACAAACCCAAATGGTTAGACATGCAAAACTTAATCACCATGATGAAATGCCATTAACAATATGGTAAACGTTATTCCAAATTATGTGCCAACTGCATCTTGTGGACACGTTGCGTTAATTTCTGAGGAACTGTCGCACAAAACAAAGACAGGATACATGAGGCAGCCATGTTGCATATGTTAAAAGCAAGGATATCTCCGGCCTTAAAGAGATATTTCACAGAAAAATGAAAATTCACTCATTATCCACTCACCACTATGTTGATGGAGGGGTGGGTGAAGTGTTTGAGTCCACTAAACACATTTGGAGTCTCAGGGGTAAACTGTGTTGCAGCCAAATCCAATACAATTTAAGTGAATTGTGACATCTTCTTCAGACTTAAAAATACAACAGAAAAACATAAAATGCCTCAATACTGCTCGTGTGGTGTCATCCAAGTGTCCAAAAGCCCCAACATTCATATTTGTCTCAAACAGCATCATTTACACCATGTTTTTAGCATAAAGACCAAACGTGTTGTGCACTTAAACTCTACACCCAACCCCTCCATCTGCATAAGGGTGAGTAGATAAAGCCATTTTTCAGTGAACTATCCCTTTAAAGTCCTGCAAAGTCGGCTTATGACTTGACTATTTTTCAACAACAGCACTCCCTGCTGCATATCTACTGTAGATGCATTGCCATTACCTCTACTCTATTACTGCGCCATGCATAAACTATGCATAAACGAAGAGTGTACAATGATGCTCTGTGTTGACCGGTGGTTTTAATAGTCGAGTAGTCTGTGAAACCCCTATAAACTACAGTGTTTGTATTTTAATGTGTTGCTGTTTTGAGCATATTATGAGTGGGAGAAAATGGGAAGATACTGAAAGAGATCTTAATACAGACAATTTAAACTGTTTAGCGCACAGACAGGTATTCCACTCAGGAAAAACAAAATTAGCATTAAAGAAACCTTTTAAGTCCCACCTTGCTCTCTGCTGCTGGTAATTAACACAAGAAAGAGAGATTGAGACAAATAAAGGTAAAGGAGGAAATGGATAAACTGAGGCATGTGGGGGTGGCGGGGGTGGTGGTGGCAAACGAGCAGGAGTGAAAAGCAAACAGGAACGAAAGATGGAGATGAAACACCGGAGGCAAAGCAAGGTGCAAGCAGAAGGAAATTTGCACATGAACAGCAAAGCGCGCCAGAAAACGGAGGAACGAGGAAAGGACGACTAAAAGAAACAAACAAAAACGTCAGGATGGAAACGGGGAAGCGGCACAAACGGAGAGATAAAGAAAGATTGACAGGCCAAAAGGGAGACTACAGAAATGTACCTAGCATCAGGCTGATATTGTCATTCTGTGCAGCAGCCCTGCTCCAATGTGCTGATTATGAGAGCATCATTTGAGACTGACAACCTCGTTCCAATAGTACAGCATGCCAAACACATTCCCAGCCCCCATCTCTCTCTCTTTCTCTTTCTCTCTGCGTTCTTCCCCTGAGCTCACACAATAGCCGTTTGATGAAGACTGAATGATTGGAGGAGGAACGAAGTGAAACGTGAAAGAATAACAGAAGAGAAAAAAACATACTTGGAGAGGCTGCTGCTGATGGGGAGAATGCAAAAAATAAGCGAGAGAAACCAGAGAGACAGAGAAAAGAGCGGTGAGGAGGTGTGGAGAACATGGGTTCAATGCAGCTGCAATTAAGGGTGCAATTTTTTGTGCCAGGGAATATGCTAATTCCTCCTTTGTGTGAGCAGTTGATTGGCCATCGCGCCGTACACCAGGCGGCGAGGGAAGAGGAAGCAGTGGGCTTGGATCGCCGCTGCCTGGCACGGCGTCCATCACAGGCCTCATTTAGCTACACCATCACAGTTGGCAGCACCGGAGGAGAAAAAAAGACACACTTGTGTCAGCTGTCTCTCCCCGCGTCCGTATGTACGTACATCCAAAAGCCACACAGGGAAAGAGTTGCTAGCTCAATTAACAAGCTCCAGAGACGCTAACCGGAACAAAGGTACTCATTAATAGTCATGTACGACCTTTATATATGAGCTGAGCCTCAATCCACCAAAGACTGGATGTAATTTTGGACCTAAGGGATTCTGGGAATATTGAAGGAGTTCAGGCTACATGAGAGGAAATTGAAGCTTCTGTATAATTTCCACTGCAGATCATTTTGCTAAGATTAGAATTAAGAGATGCTGAAATTTACGGAGACATTTCCAGCTAAAGGGCCTCAGTACGTATGTTTAATCTCCATGTGAAGAAAAATTAAAATGTATGGTAAGATGGTATTGTGGCTAATTTAAACAGAACCTTTTCAAAAGTAATCACTGCTTCCTTTACCAGTCAAGCAGCTGGTCTCATTCTACTTTACAAACTAATCGCATGGTATCATTGTGGGGTCTAAAATAAGCACAAGTGGGCTTTTATGCCCTCTGATTCATGGTTGCATTGTCATTCAGCATATCACAGCATCACATACAATTAGAAACTCTTCAGAAAAATTTAGGTGATTACACACCGTGCACGAAAAACCAAGTTGATTTCACTGATGGTGATCATATAGTTCATATAGTAGCTCTTTTAAAAATGAAATGGAAATGTTGTATAAATCTGTACAAAATATGTTGTTTAATTCTTACCACAATTGAATGGGCTCCATCTCGGCCCATCCTTCCACCAAATTCAATATAAAAATCAGATAAGTAATTTTTGCTGACAAACAAAGGTATGAAAACATAAAGCATAAGATAAGTTAAGATATTTATTACACCCACAGGAAAATTTGCTTTGTTGCAGCAGCAAAGAGGACAGTCAAAAAATAGAGATAAAAGTAATAAATGGGTAAACATGCAAAATACATGTGAAGGGAATATAAAAATATAAACAGTGGATTTATTTAAATTAATTATTGTTCCTTTGTTCTAGTCAGTATTTCATCTATACTGCAGAGAACACAAGAATAAAGAGCAATATTGATCTGTAAAACCTAATCGAAGATAATTGGCTAATGTTTAATCCTGCTGCAACATTGGATTGGACACTGAGCTCTTTATTAGGAACACAGTTTCTTAACTCCCTCTGCTCTAAAAACAGCCTCAGGTCTTCGTTGGCATTGATTCCACAATATGATTTAAACTTTCCATTGAGTTTCTGCTCCATGTTGACATCGTCATTGTATCACGTCAGTTACACAGATTTGTCAGCTGCTGTGAATCTTCTGCTTTACCACATCACAAAGGTGTGGTGGCTGGGGAGGCCACTGAAGTGCATTGAACTCATTTGTATGTGCATGGAACCAGATTTGGACTACTTTTGCTTCGTGACATGAACATGCTGGAAGTAGTCATAACACGATGGGTAGATTGTGGCCATAAAGGGAAGCACATGTTCAGCAACAATACTGGCAGGTTGGCTGGTTAATGGTAGTAAAGGGCCAGAAGTACGCCAAGAAAACATTCCTCACATCATTACACCACCAGCACCAGCCTGGACTGTTGACACAAGGCAGGTTGGGTCAATGGATTCATGTTGATGACATCAAACATCCTGCAGACTCAGCAGAAATCCAGATCAGCAGATCAGGCTACGTTTTCCCACTCAACTGTCCATTTATTGGACGTGTCTTACCAGTGCAGGCTCCGATTTCTGTTCTTGGCTGACAGGAGTGGAACCTGACACCATCTTTTGCTGTTGCAGACCATGTGTGCCTCAAGGTTGGATGTGCTTTGCATTCTGAGATGCTTTTCTGCTCACCACATGTAAAGAGTTACCTGAGTTGCAGACCTCCCTCATCAACGAATAATTTCTGTCTGCAGTCCACTCACTAGCTGCTTTATGTTTTTGAAATAGTAATACATAGCCTGTCTGGTACCACAAATAATGGCACAATGACAGATGTCAGAGATTTGTTCATTGTAAGACTGACAGTATCTCTTGACCTGCGTCTGCATTATGGTGTGTGATGCACTGCAGTCACATGATTGTCTGATTGAACAATTGCATAAATAAGTAGGTGCATGGTGAATGTATATTCACGTGTTTCACCTCAGCTTTAACCCCCATTCATCTCTTGCTTTGTCTAAACATTGGTTTGAATTAAAGCCCCTGAAAGGAGTTTTTAACTGGTTATGGAATGGAAATTAAATTTTGCTGCCTCTTTACAACCTACAACAGCAAATGAGACAATCATTGGATTTTTCTATAAACTATTCTCAATGTTTGTCGCCAGGAGGAATTACCCGTGAGGTCAACGATTTACGACAGTCAGGCTGGAAAGGCCTATGTTCAGGCAAGAGGAGAGGAAACAGAAGTGGGGGAAAGCCAGACAGGCTACGCGCTAGACCTGAGGCTAACCCGTATAGACCAGTGCTCCCGAGTGGGTTCATATTTTATATATCTTTATTTTTACATATGTTGAGTATGTTGATCTTTGAATACCCCCTTATTGCAATGTGGTACGTGCACCCAGGAATCACTCTCTGTCTGCATTTGGAGCAGAGAGAGCCAGAGGATGTAAACTGATGCAGACCTTGTTTCATGTTATGAAAATAATAATTTTATTTGTGTAGCACTTATCTAAAGAAGGTTACAATATGGCAAAATATGAATGGACTATAATAAAAGGTATTCAATTCAGTTTCATGTTAAGGGCAATTTCATAACATGATAAGGTCAAGACCAGTTCACAGACATCAACAGTTATATCATTACAGTAAAAACTATCTAAAGAAAGCTGTGTTGCAGTGTGTCCTGAACATTCATGCCAGTAAGGGTTGACAAATTAGAAGCTCCTCTCAATACAACAGCATCAAAAACAGCCTCAAAATTACCTTAAAGTTAAACCTGTATCTCTATAACTAAACATTATAACCTTTATGCATTATATTGTACAGCTTGTGTTAGTTTGCTTTATCTAGGATTACATAAAGTGCAAAGTAAGTGTCTATTTTGCACAATCAAGAAAATTTAGATCCATTTTGATGAAGGTACATTTAGTTAAGTATGTCGGACTTGTACTTACTTCTACTGGAGAACTTTAACATTAAGGCATATGACATGCTGCAGCGTTTAGTCTCATCGATAGGAAAATAAAAAATGAAGCTTACACTTATACAATACTGTGTGGGGCTTAACAATCCACACTCAAAGAATGACTTGGACAGTGAAAGTCCATTTAAATCACATCATAAGCACATATTTTCATTCTCTCCATCCTCCCCTTTGTGTCCAACTGATGATGTCAACAC